AGGGAAGGGAAGGGAAGGGAAGGGAAGGGAAGGGATGAAAATATGATCATAAGCCTATGAAAGTGTGTGGGGACTTAGGTTACAGAGAGCTGTGAAATACAGCAGCAAAATAAGGAATAAGCATACAACCATAATTCAGCTTTTTCCTTGAATACCGTGTAATCAGCCCGGATGTTGAGATGTCAGGTTATTCATTCCAAACTAACTTTCTTTCTAAAAATGTCATGTGCTTGTTTGAAACATTAACTTGCTATCATTGCATGTAAACCGTATGTACTTCTGTTAAAATTGTGCCACTTTGACACCTTGCAGAACATGTAATTTTACTACTTCATGCTCCAAATCTCCCCTGACTAGTTCTGGCTGCTTAGCTGGGTTCATCTCTTGTGATTTGTTGTTACCACGAGGATCCCAAGCAGCACCACCAGGATCACCAATGGCAGGGAAAAGAATGAATCCTGGAGTATGTAGTCCAGGCAGAAACTATCCTGCAGTGAAGGTTGCAAGCCTGAAGTACTCACCTATCATTGCCATGAAGCCTTATGTCAGTATTTCCACAGGGAATTATTTTCTTTCTCAACTGAAGTATTTTGAGGGTTGATTTCTTTTCATCAAAATGTCAACATTTGACACGTATAATGTCAATTTTCCAGCCATTCTACAGTAAATTGGACCAGATACAAATGTATGTGTATCTCCTCTATTTTTCCATACTAGCTGTTTTTTTCAATGAGAAATTATGGAAAAAAGTGAAGATGTGTCAGAATCTATAGGCTCTAATAGTGGGATTCATCCACAAAATACAAAAATCTATAACCGAGACATCTACATCTGAGGTTGTCACTCTGGACTCTTTTCATAATCAGTGGAGAGAAATAGGCACTTTAGGGTGTGATTCATCTTATCCTGAAGTAGATGGCTAAAACAGGTAAGCTGAATCATGTTTTAAAAGCACCTCTTATTCTCCATTCTCGGCATTAGAGGGAATCTATGGTGACAACTTCAGACACTGACAGCTCAAGTTAAATAAAATTACTTATGTCTTAAGAGTCCATAGAATTGTTGTGCATAGACTTGTCCTTTTGCTCCATAATTTCACCTGTTCATTTT